CCTGAGCACCTGTGCTGGGAATATCCCCAGCACACCATCAGGCGTGGCCCCCAAACAACAGATAAAAAGATAAAAATAGGATACAAAGATTGAAAAAATAAGATTAAAACAAAAGTCCAGATGCCAGAGAGATCGTCCGGGAGTTAAGGCGCTTGCCTTGCACATGCCTGACCCTGGTTTGACGCCGCAGCACCACCTCTGGTCCCCCAGGCACCACCAGGAGTGAGTCCTGAGCACAGAGTCAGGAGTAAGTCCTGAGCACTGCCAGATATGGCCCCCAAACAAACAAGAAAAGGAACGAAAGAAAAATACTAAATAAAAAAGATAGCTGACAGTTGATTAATTAAGGCCTGGCTGCAAGGTAGGCATTAAGTGAATCATGAGACACCAGACACCAGTGATGTCGTTTGATGCTTACAACATCCCCCGGGCTCAGGGACGGTCATGATCCTCGTGTGTTGAGGGGTAGAGCTGTCATTTTGAATTGACTTCTTTTGTGCCTTTCTTCCCCGGGGCTGGGGATTGAACCTGGGGCCTCAACCAAGCCGGCCAGGTGTTTTCCCCCAGTACCGCCTCCCTGGTGCTTGAGTTTGCTTCTAATGACCCTCAGTTCCGTGACAGAGTTGAGGTTGAACCTGCGGGGTCTATCGTGGAAACTCCCAGCCCTGAGCTTGGGGTCTCGCCACCTCCCTGCGAGATCAAATGTGTGTGGTTTTAGGGGGAATGGCCAGGAGCCTTAGTTGTGGGGGCCACGGCAATATGTTGATGTCAGCGCCACAGTTTATCATCATTAAGCTACACTCGGACATGATCCACCAGTGGCACCCACCGGTCTCCACATCTTGACCCACCTGAGGGTCAGATGCCAGTTTATTGGCATATTGCAACCTGCTTTTTGTATAAGCCAGTGTCACGCGGATGGATGTGGCTTCTCAGCAGCCACAGGCCGGGCCACAGATACCCACAGCATGCCACTAAACCCAAAGGAAAAGTACCAGAGACACATAGCCACATGTTTCCTGCCAGCATTTAGGGGTCTGGGGAACCTCATATATGCATCTCTGGTCCTACCCCGCCAAAGGTGTGGAGCGGCCACCTGGCCACATGTGGGGTCCCAGCTGTGCTCTCTGTACCACGAGGCCACGGCCACATGTCTCAGAATAGCTCCTGCCACAAGTATCTGTGCACTCCATGCAATATTTCTTCCTCCATCCTGAGAAAGAATCTGATCCCAGGGCTGGAATGATAGTACAGCAGGGAGGATGTTTGCCTTGCACGCAGCCGACCCGGGTTCGATCCCTGGCATCCCATATGGTCCCCCAAGCACTGCCAGGAGTAATTCCTGAGTGCGGAGCTAGGAATAAACCCTGAGCATTACTGAGTGTGACCCAAAAAGAAAGAAAGAAAAAGAAAAAGAATCAGATCCTGTCATTGGACATAGCCTAGGTAGCTCAGGAGGGCATCGTACTCAAGGACATACAGCAGCCCTGGATGAGTTCACTTAGATGTGACTTCAGGAAAAGTTCAGCCTAGAAGACACATAGTGGGGCCAGAGCAATTGTACAGCAGGTAGGGCTTTTGCCTTGTATGTGGCCGACCTGGGTTCCATCCCCGGCATCCCATGGGGGGTCGGTCCTTCAGCACCACCAGGAGTAATTCCTGAGTGCAGAGTCAGGAGGAACCCCTGAGCATCACTGGGTGTGACCCAAAACCAAAAAGCAAAATAAAACAAACCTCCTAACCAGAGCCGAATGGTGTTTGCCAGGGACAGGCAGTTGCGGGTGAGACTGATGGTGCTTAAGGGCCTAGAGTTGTGGTAAGTAAGAGCTCGGGAACCTGTAGACAGCTAGTGAACAGGTGCGTGGAGACAGTAATTTGGTACTAATCTTGTCGCGTGATGAATATTACAACAATGGCACTCACAGGGTGTCATGCAAATGTGTCCAATTTATGAAATGAAAAAAATACTTGGAAAAGTTTTTATGTGTAGCGGCCCTCGTCCCATGGTGCTCTGGTTTCTGACCATCTATACTGTCTCTCTGAACCTCCTTTTCATTTGCTTTTCTTTTTGGGTCACACCCAGCGATGCTCAGGGATTACTTTTGGCTCTGCGCTCAAGAATTACTCCTGGCGGTACTTGGGGGACCATATGGGATGCCGGGGATTGAACCCGGGTCGGCCGCATGCAAGGCAAATGCCCTACCCACTATACTATCACTCAGGCCCCCTCCTTTTCATTTTAATATTTGGGTTTGTTTTTTTCTGTTTGTCTGTTTGGGTAGGGGCACACCCAGGGGTGCTCAGGGCTTACTCCTGACTCTGCGCTCAGACATCATACCTGGCGGGGCTCACGGGACCATATGGGGTGTCGGGGATCCAACCCAGATCAGCCACGGGCAAGGCAAATACCCTACCTGCTTTGCTACTGCTCCAGCCCCCCCCCTTTAATTTGTATTAATTTTTTTTAATTAGTCAGAAGGTGAGGAACAGATGCAGGTAGATCTGCCGCCTGTGTGGCATATAAAGAAACATAGTCAGGGAATAACAAATGACTAAAGGCCACAGAACCTGATAACGAGCTCCCCAGGGTGAGGGGAGGGGCTGAGGGGGGTCACTCTGATGGACGGGATGGTTTAGGGACATTGTGCCTGCAGGAAACTGGATCATTAGCAGTGTTGCAAATCCCCGTGCCTAGAATTGAAGAGAAAAAAAATTCAAAAGAGATTTATGTGCATGAGAAACCATGATTAATAGCATTGTAAACCACAGAAACTCAATTTAAACATTTTTGGAAAAGGAAATGATTTAAAATGTTAGCACTAGGGGTGTGGCTCTAAAGCTGGAGGGTGTGAGGGAGCCCCAGATTTGATCCCTGGCATAGCAAGGTCCTCCGAGCACCTATGGGAGCAACCCCCCAAATTCATAGGGAATTACCCAAGAACACCAGCTGTGATTCCACCCCCCACCCCTTTTTTTTTCTTTAATGTCCTACCAGACACTCTTTAGCTTTACTAAATGTTTCCTAAGCCGTGCCTGGTCATGCTCCCGCGCTTCCCTGGGGAGTCTGCCCGGAGCTCTGAGGCAGGCCGAGGAAACTTGTGGTTCTGGTCCATGGAATCCGGATTCTTTCAGGCCTATGGAAACTGCACGCTCAGCCTCCGCCGCGCAGGTGGAGACCCAGCCGCCGAGGCCCCGCGTGCCAGCGAGGACCCAGCCTGGCAAATTATTGGCAGCTGGTACCGTAATGAGTCCATTTCAATATAAATGGGCCCTCGCTTATTAATTTCTGCCAGTTCCTAAGCGATTCAGGAACTGCTTTGGAAATTGGAAACTTTGCATTGAGCGGCGGGGAGGAGGGTGCCCCAGAGAGAGAGAGAAAGAGAGGGGTCCGAGGGCTGGCAGCAGGAGAAAGGGGAGCACCACGGGGGGGGGGGGGGAGGGCTGCAGGACCCACCATCTTGCTCCCGGCAAGATCTCGTTTTCTGAGACAGGTTTGGGCACTTGGCTGATTTCTCTCTTTCTCTCTCTCTCTCTCTCTCTCTCTCCCTCTCTCTCCTGCTCTCTTTCTCTCTCTTTCTCTCTCTCCCTCTCTTCCTCTCTCCCTCTCTCTCCCTCTCTTCTCTCTCCCTCTCTCTCCCTTTTCCTCCCTCACCCTCTCCTCTCTCTTATCTTTCTCCCTCTCTCTCTCTCCCTCTCTCCCTCTCTCCCTCTTCTTCCCCCTCTTGCCCTTTTTCTTCTCTCTCCCTCTTCCTCCCTCTCCCTCTCTTCTCTCTCTTCCTCTCTCCTTCCCTCTCTCCCATTCTCTTTCTTTCTCTCTCCCTCTTTCTCTCCCTCGCTCTATCACTCACTTACTCTTTCTCTCTCTCTCTTCCCCTCCCCTCTCTCTCTCTGCATGGGTGCATTTATTGATGTCCGTGACATCTCTGTATACCCATTAAATAGCGGTTTGCCCTGTGTTCCCGCCCCAAGTCTCCACGTCCTGCTGTAGCCAGCAGTGGCCAAGGTTGGTGGCAGACAGCCCTGGGTGATCAGAGGCAGTGACAGCAAGGCACCCGCCACCCTTTCTCCTTCCCTAGTAGCTGCCGCCTCACCTCAGCGGGCAGCCACAGGAGGCTTTGAAATCCTGCTTGTGTGCTGGTGTCCCTGGTCAGTTTCTTTTCTGTGTTAAAGAACATGGTGCTCCTTTACCTAAACAATCCCCCCCCACTTTCTTTTCTGTGTTTCTTCTGAGGTTGATGTTTGCCATCTTAGGAAAACCTGCACACGATAGGTCATGCATTTAATTGGGTCGTGGTGTTTCCTTGTATTTTTAAATTTTTTTTTTTGTAGGAGTACTGCTATTTATTCAGCCACTGATTAGCTGATTGAATTGGGCATGAATTCCACCTTAATTTTATTTTTTAAATTTTTAATTTTTTTTTCTTTTTCAATTTATAAATACAGCTGTATTTCAAGCATCGCTGTGACTGACTTTTTTTTTTTTTGCCTCTTGGGAGGGAAATCACCCCTCAGGGAACTGTCTTGGTGACCGGACCTCTTCGTCCACTGAGATGGGTTCGAATGTTCCAGTCACTTTGTAAAAGCTGCTGATGACCACAAACATGGCAGGGTGGGATGGGGGGGATGGGGAGTGGGAGGGATATTGGGATCCGTGGTGGTGGGAAATGGGCACTGGTGGAGGGATGGATATTTGATCATTGTATTATTGAAACCCAAGCACAAAAATTTGTAAGTCTACAACTGTACCTCATGATGTCTCACTAATAAAAATAAAATTAAATAAATTAAAAAAACATGCCATTCGGTTTGTCTTTGTGGATCTGCAGACAAGTGTCATAAGTCACCTCTCTGGAACAAAATATCGCCTCCTTGGGCTTGAGCCTTTCACTCCGAGTGGCTGGATGCAGGAGGCCCACCGAGTTGGGGGGAACCTTGAAATAGGCCTGTCTGACCGTTGCCTTTTTTCTTTTCTTTTCTACGTTCCCTCCCGTCCTCTCCAGGTCTGGGGCACGTTCTTCCCGCGTCAGAGGAGTCCCCGATGTCCACCTCCAGGCCCAGGTGCTGATTGACGTCCAGCCCCTTTGCCCCGTGGCCATTTCCACTCTCGGGACCTAAATGCCCCACGGCTCTCAGGACCGGCTGGGCTGGGGACCACTGTTGCCTCTGCAGGTAGGTGCATCCTCATCTGTCTTCTGGGGCCTCGACGAGGTCGCTGGGATGCTGCTGTGGGGGCAGGGCAGGTACCTCTGAGTATAGATGGATTTGCTGTCTTGTATTCCTCTTGTGGGAAAAAGAATTTGGACTCATCTCTTGGGATTAGGGCTACACCCATCTAACAATTCAAAGGCATTAAGCCTTAAAACAGAGAGAGAGAGAGAGAGAGAGAGAGAGAGAGAGAGAGAGAGAGAGAGACAGAGACAGAGATACAGAAACAGAGGGAGGGAGGGAGAGCGAGAGAGAGAAGGGAGAGAAAGGGAGAGAGAGGGAGAAGGAGAAAGAGTGAGGGGAGAGAGAGAGAGAGAGAGAGAGAGAGAGAGCGCAGGTACCTACAAAAATCTTTTCTGTCCCTGTGGACTTCCCTTGAGATATTTTACACTTTTCCCCTGAGCCTCATGTCTTTCCACTGGGTTGGGTGTATTTTGCAGAAAGCCAACCCTGGTCTCCAGAATCTAAACTTCCAAACAATCATTTCTTTTGTTTCTGGTTCGGCTAATCTTTTAAAAAGCGAAATAAATTCAGTCCAAATAATAATCTTTCTAAATCCAAGATCATCTTTTATTTATTGCAAAACATACCTGTTTTAAGTCTCTGCCTTTTTTTTTTTTTTTTTGGCAGGGGACTGGTGGGAAGGGAAGGGGGGTGTGGAGGGGAGTGTCTTCTTTGCATGTGTGACTTGGCAAAAACCCTTTGCAGGGGTTTGTAAAGATGTTAGCAGAAACTTTCAGAACTTCGTCTCAGTTTAATCTTAGCTCTTTTTTTTTTTTTTTTTGCTCCCCGTCTTCATGCCCAGCCTCCGGTTGGGAAAAAGGAAAAAGGGGAAAAAAAAAAATAAAAAAAGCAGGCTCAAAACCAAGACCTCCCACTAGAATCTAATTTTAAATTTGCAATCTGTTGTCTTGTGATTTTTTTCGCTTCAAATTTAACTTCGAAACAAATACATCTCCTCCTTTCGCCGGCAATTTTGGAGGTCTGTTTTCAAGTCATTGAAGGGTGATCATTAGGTTTATTTTAATGAGTTTTTAAATACCTCAAGGGGAGTGAAAATTATATTATTAATAATTATAATTGACTTACATCATCCGAGGCCTCGTGCTTGTTTCGCACCGGCCCTCGCTGAAGGCAGAAAGTCTCGGCTTTGAAGTGAACTTGGGACTTGATGGGGACAGAAATGGGGTCCTCCTGGGCCCATTCTGGGTCTCCCTGGGTGGCGGATGTACAGGCAGAATAGACAGTGAGCCTTGCTAGTGTGAAGGGCTGTCTGTGACCTGAGCCGGGGAGCCAGAGGGCGAGTAGAAAGGTTACGGCGCTTGTCTTGCACGCAGCTGATTCCGTGTTCGACCCCCAGAACTGCCTTAGGTCCCCTGATCACTGCCAGGAGTGATCCCTGAGCTCAGAGCCAGGAGTAGGACACGAGTATCGCCGGGTGTGGCCCCCCAAAAAATAAGCAAGCAAAAAGTCTGTCTTGGTCTAGCTAACCAGCCAGATGTCACATGAGGCATGGTCCCCGCCAGCAAGAGATTGGCTAGGATGGGAGAAGGAGTGCTGTAGAGGTCGAGTCAGTGGCCACTGGGAGTTGTTCTGTCTGCATGAGGCTGTTTGCTTGAACGTCTGGTCCGCCCTAAGACATCTGTCTGCTGCTTGAGTTTGGAGACATTTTGTGGCCCCGTCTGCCTCGTGCCTGCATCCTGACTTTGCCATTTATCCAAGAATCCAGGTTCAATCCAGGTGCGATTTTTACCTATTTTTTTTCTTTCATTAAAATGAATTACAAGGGGTCTTAGCGATAGTACAGCAGGGAGGGCATTTGCCTTTCATGCGGCCAACCCGGGCTCGATCCTCGGCATCCTATTGGGTCTCTCCAACACCACCAGGAGTAATTCCTCAGTGTAGAGCCAGGAGTAAGCCCTGAGCATCTCTGGGTGTAACCCCAAAAGTAAAAAATAAAGAAATTACAAGGACCGGAGAGAGAGTACAGCAGCTAGGGCTCCTGCCTTGCATGTGGCTGACCGAGCTTTGCTCTCCAGCATTCCATAAGGGCCCTGAGCACTGCCAGGAGGAATCCCTGCATGCAGAGCAAGGATAATCTTTGATCATTGTCAGGTGTGGCTCCAAAACCATTTTTAAAAAAATAGATGAGTGAATTAATAAATTTAGGGTAAGGCCCTCCCGTTGATCGTTGATTTGCTCGAGCGGGCCCAGTAACGTCTCCATTGGAGACTTTGTTGTTACTGTGTTTGGCATATCGAATACGTCACGGGGAGCTTGCCAGGCTCTGCCGTGCGGGTGAGATACTCTCGGTAGCTTGCCGGGCTCTCCGAGAGGGGCGGAGGAATCGAACTCGGGTCGGCCATGTTGGCCGCTTGTAAGGCGAACGCCCTACAGCTGTGCTATCGCTCCAGCTAAATTTAGGGTAGACAGTTAAAAAGTATGAGTATAATTTTAAAAATCAAGATGACCAGGGCCGGAGAAATAGTACAGCGGGTAGGGCGTTTGCCTTGCATGCTGCCAATCCAGGTTCAATCCTGGCATCTCATATGGTCCCCCAAGCACGGCCAGGAGTAATTCCTGAGCACAGAGCCAGGAGTAACCCATGAGCATTGCTGGGTGTGATCATCCCCCCCCCCCCGCAAAAAAAAAGCCAAAAAAAAAAAAAGCAAAATGACCTCACCAGCCAGCCCCTCTGATCATAAGAGACACTTTTAAAATGTTTGCATTTTAAAATGTTTGCATAGTTCTTGCCTCTGTGTGGATGTGTGTCAGTGAAATATTGTTCTGTTTTTAGTTTTGTCGGGGAGGGGACACCCCTGGCAGTGCAGGGGCCTGCTCCTGGTAGTGCTTGGAAACCATATGGTCCCTGGGACCTTGCGAGTAAAACATGTGCTAGCCTTTTTTGGTTGGAGTTGGTTTTTTTGTTTGTTCTTGGGACCACTCAGGGCTTACTCCAGGCTCTGTGCTAAGCAATCACTCCTGGCATTGTTGTCCAGATCACTCCTGGCAGAGGGGCCATCCACAGTGTTGTGATCAGCAGAATAACTCCTGGCAATGCTTGTGGGATCATATAGGATGCTGAGGATTAAACCCTGGTTGGCCGCACGCAAGGCAAATGCTCTCTCTGCTCCAGCCCAGACTCTATATTCTTTTTTTTTTTTTTCTTTTTGGGTCACACTGGCAATGCACAGGGGTTACTCCTGGTTCTGCACTCAGGAATTACTCCTGGTGTTGCTCAGAGGACCATATGGGATGCCGGGAATCGAACCCGGCTCGTCCTCGTGCAAGGCAAATGCCCTACCAGCTGTCCTATTACTCCAGACCCGACTCTGTATTCTTAATGAAAACTTCAGTCCATTTCAAGTCAAGAAGTTGGAAATGTGTCTCTCCAAATTCAGTTTTCAGTCCCACTGAATATGACAAGTTTTGCTCGAGATTTGTTTGGCCATGATGGTTGCATTCTCTTTTGCATGATTCGTTCCTGAGTGGTACAAGCTGTGGCAGGTTGGCCCAGAAGTCAGGCCTGAAGCAGGGCGTTTTCCTGTTCTTCCTTGAGTGCAGGTGGGGAATGCAGCTCACTGTTTGGAGGGAATACTTGAATGTCTGGTCTGCCCCCAAGTCATTCCACATCCTAACCCCACAAATACGATGACGCCTTCCTTGGTTCTGAAGGAGACGAGTTGATTCTGAGTTTCCCTGGTCTTATTTCATTTTTATTTTTTCCTTTTTTGCTTTTTGGGTCACACCCAGTGATACTCAGGGGTTACTCCTGGCTCTGCACTCAGGAATTATTCCTGGCGGTGCTTGGAGGACCATATGGGATGCTGGGGATCGAAGCCAGGTCAGCCGCGTGCAAGGCAAATGCCCTACCTGCTGTGCTATCTCTCTGGCTCTGATCTCATTTTCTTACTTTTGTTTAGTTGTGTGTTTTTGGCTCTTGGCTTTTTGCTATTGATACCAAGACCATTTACCTTGACACAGGGATCATAATTATACTCACTGCTTTAAAAATCTCCCTTCATGAAGCCAGAGTGATTAATACAGTGGGTAAGGCGTTTGCCTTCCCATGCGGCTGCCTTGGGTTCGATCCCCGGCACTCCATATAGTCTCCTGAGCACCACCAGGAGTGATTCCTGCATGCAGGAATAACCCCTGAGCGTTGTAGCTCCCCCAAAGCATAGGAAGCTAGGAAGAGGATTGGGTAAGAGGAATGAGAGAAGTCATTCCTCAGTGGCCCAGGAAGGCAGCTCAAGGGACTGGAGTGGGGGCATTGCATGTGAGAGCTCTGGGTTCAACCTCTGGCACCACACATTCCCCAGAGCACTGTCCTGGGAGTATCCTGCAGCACTGCTGGATATGTTCTGTAAGGTCTTAATTCTCTCCTTGGTTCCAGCTGTGGTCAGCTCGCGGAGGGGATACGTAGGGAAATCGGAGTAAGCTGAGTTGCCCTTTGGGCTGGAGACCAGGGAAGGCCACCCTTGAGGTATGATCTTTGAGTCAGATTAAGTGCATTTAGTTGGGTACCTGAAAGAAGGCTGCAGGCAGAGGAAGAGCATAGGCAAAGGCCCTGGGGCAGCGTGCAGTCCAACCAGAACTTTAGTTTCTTGAAAAGGAAGTTGGAGAAGCCAGTTGGTGGCAAAAACTGGGAGTTGGTTCTTGTTTCTAAAACATTATACTACCTCTGGCTTGGGCTGGAGCCATAACACAGAGGGTAGGGCATTTGCCTTGCAATTCCTCCATCCCTCTCAGAGAGCACGGCAAGTTACTAAGAGTATCCCGCCCGCATGGCAGAGCTTGGCAAGCTCCCCATGGCGTATTCAATATGCCAAAAAAACAGTAACAACAAGTCTCACAATGGAGACGTTGCTGGTGCCCGCTCGAGCAAATCAATGAATAAGGGGAGGTCAGTGCTACAGTGCTACCTCTGGCTTATTATCCCAATGCGCCAACTACCCTCAAAA